AGAGTGTTTGGATGTAGGGCATTTGTACATGTTCCTAGAGATGAAAGGTCTAAGCTTGATAGCAAGACAAAGCAATGCATTTTCTTGGGCTCTAAAGATGATAAGTTTGGCTATAGGTTGTGGGATCCAAAGGAGAAGAAAATTATGAGAAACAGAGATGTTATCTTCTTTGAAGATCAAACCATTGAAGATTTTGAACAGAAAGAGAAAACAGAGTTTACTGTTTTTATTCCATCTAATTCAAATCCAAGACCTACTCCACAGTTACCTTTGATGTCTGTTAATCACGGGGGAGACTTGCAAAATGATGATAATGGTGGTTCTCTTATTGAGCCATTAGTTGGTGATCCTGAAGCAACTAATGATGATATTGATGTTATTCCTGAACAAGTTATGCAAGAAGCTTCGGATAAGCCACAATTGAGAAGGTCAACTAGACTTCGCCAACCTTCCACCAGATATTCTCCTCATGAATATGTGTTGGTTACTGATGGGGGAGAGCCAGAATGCTTTGATGAAGCTATGTCACATGAGAAGAAAAGTGAGTGGTTAAAAGCAATGCAAGAAGAGATGAAATCCTTGCATGAAAACCATACCTTTGAGTTAGTAAAGCTTCCTAAAGGTAAGAGAGCACTTAAGAACAAATGGGTGTTCAGGTTGAAAATTGATGAACATTGCTCACAGCCAAGGTACTAGGCAAGATTGGTTGTGAAAGGTTTCGGTCAGAAGAAGGGTATTGATTTTGAAGAAATCTTTTCACCAGTGGTCAAGATGTCTTCAATCCGAGTTGTGCTTGGCTTAGCTGCTAGTTTGAATCTTGAAGTTGAACAACTTGATGTGAAAACTGCCTTTCTCCATGGTGATTTAGATAAGGAAATCTACATGGAGCAGCCTCAAGAGTTTGAAGCAAAAGGTAAAGAGTAGTTAGTTTGTAAGTTGAAAAGGAGCCTATATGGGTTAAAACAAGCTCCAAGACAATGGTATAAGAAGTTTGATTCTTTCATGGTGGATCATGGTTATGACAAGAGCACTTCTAATCATTGTGTATTTATGAAAAGGTTTCCAGATGGAAACTTTATTATTCTCTTGTTGTATGTGGATGATATGTTGATTGGTGGCCATGATGCTAAGAAGATTCAAATCTTGAAGGAAGAGTTGAGTAAGTCTTTTGCAATGAAAGACTTAGGACTGGAAAAACAGATTCTTGGCATAAAGATCACACGTGACAGGAAGAAGGAGAAACTTTGGCTATCTCAGGAGAGATATGTTCAAAAGGTACTTAAGAGATTCAACATAAGCAACTCCAAACCTGTTTGTTCTCTACTTGCAAGCCACTTTAAACTAAGTTCTAAGTAGAGTCCTTTAAGTGATGAAGAAAAAGATGAGATGAAAAAGGTTCCTTATGCATCCGTAGTTGGTAGCTTGATGTATGTCATGGTTTGCACAAAGCCGGATATAGCTCATGCAGTTGGTGTGGTTAGTCGGTTCCTCTCCAATCCTGGTTAAGAACACTGGTCAGTAGTGAAATGGATACTTAGGTATCTCAAAGGTACTTCTAGTTTCAGCTTATGTTTTGGTAATGATAAACCTGTGTTAGATGGATGAGATGCAGATATGACTGGTGATATTGATTCTAGAAAGTCCACATCAGGATACTTGATGAAGTTTGCAGGGGGAGCAGTCTCATGGCAATCAAGGTTGCAAAAGTGTGTTGCATTATCCACTACAGAGGCCGAATATATTGCTCTTATTGAAGGGGGCAAAGAGTTGTTATAGATGAAGAAGTTCTTGCATGAACTTGGCCTAGTTCAAGAGAACTTTATATTGCATTGTGATAGTCAAAGTGCAATCCATCTCAGTAAGCATCCTACTTTTCACGCTCGATCAAACCACATTGAGGTTAGATATCAATGGATTCGAGATGCTATGGAGATGAAGTCATTCATTGTTGAGAAGATCCATACTGATGACAACGTGTCAGACATGATGACCAAACCTCTACCGAGAGAGAAGTTTGAGTTCTGCAGAAGGGAAGCAGGCTTGTCAGAGCCTCCTAAATTGAATTTTACATATTGATTGTCGGTATGGCGAATTCCTCACAAGGTGTGTGAGGGGGAGATTTGTTGTGTGTGGTCCCACACCATGTGATGGTGGGACCACCACATTAATTTTCATGTGATGGCTATCTCTTGGTGTTTAAAATTAAGTGGTTCGGGTACTGTAGCGGTAGATTGTAAAATAGAAGAGAGGAGAAGAAAATCAAGAGAGAAAAAGAGAAGAAGAGGCAGCAGAGCAGCCTGCGTTCTTTCTTTCATTTCCAGCTCGTTCACCATTGGATCGGGCTGAGATTTTGACAGAAGATTCTAAACACGTTGATCTTCATTTTCGACGGTTGGATCGAAGATTGGTGGTATGGAAACTGGCTGTTTTGATAGAAAACAGGGCTGTCAGTTTTGTGAGTTTTTCTCAAATAATTCTCCTTTAATCTTGTTGTAATTCGAGAATAAGTTGTTCTTGATGATATATATGTTGTATCCCTTAGTTGAATCTAAGAAAGAATGATTGTGAACCCATTATTTGTTGATAGTGGAAGTTTTTAAGTGGACTACGGTCCCGTGGTTTTTCTTGCATCGGATTTTCCACGTTAAAAATCTTGGTGTTGATTTTGTGATTATTTGCATTATTTTTATCATTGTCTGATTTTGTTTTACTGCACAAAGAGGGAAAGAATTGAGACTTGTGAATTGTATTCCGCTGAATTGATCTGGGTAAATTAGTGTTTGGTTGTTCCTAATTTTCCCAACACTTTTCTCGTTAGATTCTAGTCACAATATAGTTGGATGTAAATGGATTTTTTGAATTAAACATCACTTTGATGGCTCTATTGACAAGCACAAATCATGCTTGATTGCGAAAGGCTTTCATCAACGATCAGGAGTTGACTATCATAACATTTTTAGTCCTGTAGTAAAGCCTGCCATAGTTCATTTAGCTCTTAGCCTTGTAGTGGCTCCCGCTTTGTCATTACAACAACTGGATGTAAACAATACCTTTCTATAAGGTCATCTCTTTGACCATGTTTATATATCCCAACCTCCAGGTTTTGTTGATATAGATAATCCAACTCATATTTGCAAGCTTCAAAAAGCAATTTATGGGCTTAAACAAACTTCACGAGCATGGTACCATGAGCTTCATAAATTTCTTATTGCTTCAGGATTTCACAATGCTCATGCCGATACATCTCTTTTTATTCTAAACACTGGAGGTAACTTGCTTTATCTTCTGGTTTACATGGATGACATTATTCTTACCGGTAATAATGATACTACAATACACAAGTTTATACAACTGTTTTCTCACCGATTTTCTCTAAAAGATCTTGGACGCTTATCATATTTTCTTGATGTGGAAGTTTTTCCAAATGATCACGGTATACTGCTGTCTTAAATACGTTACATTGTTGATCTTCTTACTCACAAAAAAATGATGAATGCCAAACCTGTCCATACTCCATTACCTACCAGTCCTCCCATAACATTGCACTCAGGTTCACCTCTCAAAGATCCCACAGAGTATCGAACATTTGTTGGCAACTTACAATACTTATTAATCACGTGGCCAGACATTGCCTTTGCCGTTAACAAGCTTTCTCAAAACATGCATCAACTGACTACAGAACATTGGATTCTTGTAAAACGTCTTCTGCGTTATTTATGTGGCTCTAATGATGGCATTCAGCTTTACCAAGACTCACCACTTTCTTTACATGCCTTTGCTGATGCAAACCTAGTTTCTCTACATGCCTTTTCCAACTCTGACTGGGCTAGAAACAAGGATGACTTCACATCTACCAGTGCCTATGTTGTTTATATTGGTCGTAACCCTATCTCGTGGAGTTCCAAGAAGCAAAGAACAGTTGTTGGATCCTCTACGAAGGCTGAATATAGATTAGTAGCTGCCACTGCTGCAGAGCTTAACTGGATAAGTTCCCTCTTGACAGAACTTGGTATTGCTCTTCCTCAATCCCCTATGATTTATTGTGTCAATATTAGGGCAACCAATTTGTGCTCAAACCCAGTTTTTCACTAAGGATGAAGCAGGTTGCCACTAATTTTCATTTTATTCATGAGCAGGTTCAAAATGGCATTTTACATGTTTCTCATGTTTCTAGTGATAATCAATTTGCTGACGCCCTTACAAAAACTCTTCCCAAGTCTTGGTTTCTTTCACTTAAATCCAAGATTGGTCTCGTCACGCGACCCCAATCTTAAGGGACCATATTAGAAAAGTCTTCTTATTCCTTATCATGCATTGTTGTAACAGGTTCAGTTTGTTTAAATTTTGAATTTATATTTTAAGCTGCACACTTATTCTCAGGAATAAGATTCTAGTCTGTTACAATCCCTTGTATTTATATCAGTTAATCTAATGAGAAGAAATGTGGCATATTTCCTCTTCTCTGTTTCTCTGCTCCTCTCATTGCTTTTACCCTCAGGACTCTTGCATTCTCCTTTCTTTGCTTTCTTTCTTTCTTCTAACCTTGCTTGCTTCTTTTCTACAGCTTTCCTGCATGTTTTCTCTCCTCTACTATCATGATATTTTGCCCCATGCTCACCCCTCTTAGCTGACCTCCCCTTTGCTCTCCATCAGAAGAACTATCCTCAGAGGAACTAATCCTAAAAACATCCTCCAGAACCAGCTATGCTCAAGAAACAGATGCTAACATCTTGCAAGCAAAAATTACAACTCTGAACAACAGATTTCCCAGAAATCCAGCCAATATTTACTAACCAAAAGCTAGGAAAATGGTTAGATGAGAGTAAAAAATGAAATTTACTAAATCAAGATTAATGGGCAGTGATTAGTACCCAATCAAGAAGATTAATGAATAATTATCCATAATCAAATGCTTTCACATACATAAATTTGTTCCAATTTGACCAAGAAAATAAATAAAAACTCAAATTCAATCTTAATCACAACGTCAAAAATTAAATAATAAAAACTGGATTAAAAATAAATTCATAATTATTCAACAGACTCCATGAATCCAACCCAACTCAGACAAACCATAAAGAGGAGACACAGGACTCTCGACATTACAAAGCAAACACTGCAACAGCAACTATACCAACTGATCCCACCACATTATTATGCATAAACCAAACTGCACTGGATATATCCACAGGAGCCACAGGACTCTCATCATTAGCCGCAGGAACCGCCTTTGCCGGTTTTTCTGGTGCAGGTGCCACTGGTGCTGGAGCTGGAGCATTAGAAGCAAAAATGTCCTTAGGGAGAAGAACCTTTTCAATCTTATAAATGGCAAGCTGGTTGTCTGTGTATACGGTGCCAGATAAACTTGTATTGGTAAGTCCTGTGGTTATGTTCACTGAGTTTGGATAACTTGTCACGTTAAGTGGTAACCTACTGCCTGTTCCAGCCCATGTACCTAGAGGGTTACTTACAGTCTGAAACTGGGAAGTAGAGAGGAATGTTGGAATTACGTGGAACTTCACTAACTCAGACTTGTCTCCGTCACTTAGAGTGTTGAGAGTTCCTGATTTCAGTTCCGAAAATGCGCTATCCGTTGGTGCAAAGATGGTCAAACCAGTGCTTGAATCATTTAGCGCGGAGAACAAGTGGTTTTCCTCTTGGGTGGATCTCAAAAGGCGGATAAAGATCGTGAAGTGGCCAGCCTTCTCAAGGATTTTGGTTACGTTGGTGATGCCATGTGGTGCAGCAGCCTGTGTTGGGGTTGCTGCTGGAGGTTGTGCCACAACCACTGCTGGTGCCTGCCCTGGGGCTGCAGCTGGTGACTGGGCAAAGGTATTGGTGCATTGGAGGAAAAGAAGGAAAATAAAAAATGAGGAGATTGACTGTTGCTTCATGTTTATGTTTTTGGGTTATATGCTAGAAATGATACAAAAATGTTAATGTAAATTGAGCTTGATCATAGTTAGAAAAGTGTTTGATGTGTAAAGAAGGGACAGAGTCAGGTTTTATAGTTGTTGGCAGAGGATCAAGCTAGGTGCAATGTACAATTTTAGTTATACAATTAGGTAGCTAGTATCTTATCTTTTTCCGAAAGGTGGAGGGTATCAATGGAGAGGCAAGTTCAACAATGCTGCAACAACTAATTTTCTTGGAAACGCAGGGGAAAAAAATAGATTATAAAAAGTGGATTTCAAGTGGGTGTGACAGCAAATGAAGATATCTATGATTGTCAAAATTATAATTCTGAATCATCACTGGCAGAACATTTGAGCATATACTTCCGAACATCAAAACAAATCATCTGTAATGGCAGAGGAGTTTGACATGAAATCTCAACTGAATCATCTTTAATAGCTTTGATCTAGCTCCTTGAGCTTAAAAGAGTCACATCCTTGAATCCATGACAGATTTCGATAGACTAACTTTCCAAATTCACACGTCCAGAAATCAAATCTCACCCATACCACCACATGACATGACATGATCAAGATACACTGACCTTATTATGTACTTGATTTGATGTTTGTGGCAATCCTTCTTTCAAGGTTTATGCAATCTTCGAGTAAGCTGACTTTTTAGGGAAACAAAGAGAGTCCTAAGATATCGACGCAGACATAAACAACGAAAGAAAGACAGCAACTGCATAGGATCACCATGCAAATTTCAAATTTTGTTACCTTTCTAAACTAGAAAACCTGAAAATAAAAATAAAAATGCAATAAAAATATTTAAAAAACTAGAAAATTTAAAAATAAAAAGGAAAAATTACAAATCTAACCTGAATAGCACCTTTTGGGTCTAGATGTCTTCCAGACCTGCTGACCATTACATATATAGGCCTATATAGCAAAATTTGAGCATGATTCAGCTGTGAAATTGAAAGCTGTAATTATGGGTCTTTTTGTCAAGTCAATCACTCTGCCCATCCCAAATATTGTTTTGGGCTTTGTTCTTTACCATCAGTCCATAGACATTCCTTCAAGACTATCCATGCGGCCTAGTGAGGGGAATGACTGATTTTGGAGTGTTGTTTGAAGCTACTGGCTATAGAAAATTGACTACTCTGATAGTGATTGGGCTGGTTCAGTCGATGATATGAAGAGCACAACAGGTTGTGTTCGATATCTGTTCAGGTGCACTTTCTTCGGTGACCAAGAAGCAAGAACCGTGGCACAATCCACTGGAGAAGCAGAGTGCATAACTTCAGCAGCAACTATGAATCCAGCCATACGGTTAAGGAAACTTCTCCAAGATATGGGGCAGCAACAGCATGTAGCAACTAGAATTCAAGTTGATAACAAGTCGGCCATTGCAATTGCAATAGCAAAATATTCAGTTAGTCAAGTAAAAACCAAGCATATCAAAATGAAGTTGCAGAGCTCATGAAGTAGAGAAAGCTAATGCGGTGACCTTTAGCTGTTGTTACGCAGAAAAGCAACTTGCAGATATATTGCAGCGAGAGCTTCCACAAATATACATCCTTAACTTCTCTGCAAGCATCTGCATGTAATAACAAACTTTTATGAAAAGTTGTCATTAAGAAGAATAGAAGAAGCCTATCCAGAAAATACAAGTCGCGAAAGTCACTAGCATGAAGCAAGTTGAAACTAGAATTATTAACCAACACTTGCACACGGAACCATCTGCATATACCAATACAAGAGCTTACCAGTTATATTTGTTTCCTGAGTCCTGACAGGTAATATAGCGTGGAAATTCTTTTTGCACCAGAAGTTTGCCAGCCCAAAGTAGGAGATAATATAACAGTCTTAGTAAAGGTTGTTCTGTTTCAGAACCCTTGTTTTTTTGACAATTAGCATTTTCTACTCTTTTGAATAATTAAATTGTCAATTGTCTTCTAGCCTTATAGCTTAAAGAAAACTACATTTCGGTTCGAAACATGCTTGTGTGAATTCCAAAATCACAATGAAACATCTGTTTTCACCATTATCCTACAACATGTATCAATAAATGTGTAGCTCTAACTTATCACTAGCTTCAAAACGTCAATACTGCAAGATGAAGGAAAAACACAGATGGATTGCATTAATCCTGCTGTGCAGCACACTAGGGCGCTGCGAATGAGCAAGTGACCTCACACACCAGTCCCCAATGCTCTTTTATGTCCATGAATGGAATGTTTTCTAAAATCAAACCAGATAAGTCCTTGAAATGCTACCTACCTACCTTAAATTGAACCATCTCTTGCAACCCAAGATCTGGACAAGTAACCTCAATTGAAGCATTGTTGACAGTAAAGGAACTAAGCTTTAGCCCCTTAAGCTTTAAAGAACCAAACTATTACTTTCTTCATTCCCTACAAATTTCAACAGATAAGCTTTCCAAATGCGTACCCAGAAATCATCTACAAAGTCATCCTATTGGAGAAGAAAGCAAAGGAAACAATGACCTCAGAGACTGGAGCCTCATGGAGGCAATGGTCTTATTTACCCAAAAGATAGGGAATAAGCACATGGCGCCAAGGTGATAAGAAATGAAATGAAAAAACGAGATTGACTACTTATATGTGTGTGTGTGTGTGTGTATTCCAATTTGACCAAGAAATTAATCAACAGATCGGAATTCAACCTTGATCACAAACTCAAATCATACAAACTGGATTCAAGGTAAAATCAGAATTATTCAACACACAATCAGCCGGCGCAGCAAAATAAAGCACCAAACCGGACACAACCCCTACTTATATCATATCAAGATTCGAAATCCTTCTACATTACAGAGAAAACATTGCAGAAGCAAGTAACCCAACTGATCCCACCACAACATTATGAGTAAATATAAGGGCACTAGATATATCCACAGAAGCTGCAGGACTCTCTACAGTTACTGCAGGAACTGCCTTTGTTGGCTTCTCTGGTGCAGGTGCCACTGGTGCTGGAGCTGGAGCATTAGAAGCAAAAATGTCCTTAGGGAGGAGTACCTTTTCAATCTTATAAATGGCTAGCTGGTTGTCTGTGTATACGGTTCCAGATAAACTTGTATTGGTAAGTCCTGTGGTTATGTTCACCGAGTTTGGATAACTTGTCACGTTAAGTGGTAACCTGCTACCTGTTCCGGCCCATGTTCCGAGAGGATTGCTTACGGTCTGGAACTGGGAAGTTGATAGGAATGTTGGAACTACGTGAAACTTCACTAACTCGGACTTGTCTCCATCACTTAGCGTGTTGAGAGTTCCTGATTTCAGTTCCGAAAATGCGCTATCCGTTGGAGCAAAGATTGTTAAACCAGTACTTGAGTCATTTAGCGCGGAGAATAAGTGGTTTTCCTCTTGAGTGGATCTCAAAAGGCGGATAAAGATCGTGAAGTGTCCAGCCTTCTCAAGGATTTTGGTGACGTTGGTGATGCCATGCGGTGCAGCTGCCTGTGTTGGGGTTGCAGCTGGAGGTGATGCAACCACTGCTGGCGCCTGAGCCGGGGCTGCAGCTGGTGACTGGGCAAAGGTATTGGTACAATGGAGGAAAAGAAGAAAAATTGAAAATGAAGAGAGCAAGTACTGTGGCTTCATCTTTATGTTCTTAAGATATATAATGCTAGAAACAATGCAAAAAAGCTGATGTAAACTGAGCTTGATTTTTGTTAGAAGTGCTCGATGTGTATAGAGGGGACAGTTTGAGGTTATATAGTTGTGAGCAGAGGATAAGTTAGGTGCAATATGCAATTTTAGTTACACAACTAGGTTGCAAGTACCTTGTCTTACTCCAAAAGGTGGAGGGTCATCAATGGAGATGGAAAATTGACAATGCTGCAGCAGCTACTTTGCATGGAAAGTAGGAGGAAAAAGAAACAAGAATCTAAGAAATAGATTTCAAGTGGGTGTGACAGCAAATGAAGATGTGCATTTCCCACTCATCAATGGCAGAACATTTGAGCATACTTCCACACATTATAACAAAATCATCTTTAATGATAGAAGATTTGGACAAGGAATCTCAGCTGACCCCATCTCTGTATCCAAAAATAGCTAAAGACTTAGCTGCTTGAGCTAAAAGGAAAGAAGCTTTGGATGTGTTGAGTAACATAATAAAACTTTTTTTTGCAGTTTTAATTTCCTTTTCTAGTTTTATTTTTTCAATAAAAAATCCGAAAACGTGTTTTATTTGTTACAAAATCATGAAGATAAATTTTTCCATCTAAAAAAATACTTTAAGATTATAACTATTTTTTTATAAAAATATAAATCATAATTTATAATAAACATCTTAACATTTTGTATTCGTGATAAGTTAAAGATGAAATTATAATTTTATTTCTTTTAAAAAAACTATCATGTAAAAACTATATTGCTAACCTTTCAAAAATATTTATATTAAATTTATAATAAAAGGTAAATTTATGATGCTAACTAAATATAAAAAAATAAGTTTTTACATTGCTTAAAATGGCTTGGATATAAAATAAAAAAAATATTATTCATATTTGTTTCATTTGAAAAATAATGAAAAACTTATATTAGAAAAATACAGAGAATTTTTAAAATATGTTTTTCAATCTGAATTCAAATTTAAAAAAACTAAAAAATTTAGTTTTTCCATAGGAAGTTACAGTTTTCGTTTTTCTTACTCCAACTTTTTTTAAAAAAAATATTATTTTGTTTCTAAACAATTTTTTACATCCTTTTAATCCTCATGAGAAATTGATGGACTAACTTTCCAAATTTAGACACATAAATTAGATCTCACACCAGGCCATCACTTAATCAAGAAACACTTTCTAACGTACGAGAGCCAAGAACAGGCCATGTTGCTGCTTACAATGATTTTTTTCCTTATGCAAACACAAACCTAGAAATTTTATATAAACATTTTGAAATAAAACAAAAGAAGATGCCTGTTCTCTCTCACACACTTTTTCCCGCTAATTATCAACACGAACAGTTTTGAACTGGAGAAGAAGCCTGAATCTGATGTGGGCTTGAACTCGAGAAAGATTCATATAGCAAAGAATTTATCTTAGCAAGATTAAGGAGGG